AGACATGTCATGTAATAGAGTTAAAATATAAAGTAACCTGAAGAAAAAGAATTGCAATATGTCTAACAAGCTAATGATTACTAGCCAAAGTTTTAAGTAGTTTCTACTAATCAATAAAGCAAATGAAAATAATTCTATGGAAAAATGAGGAGTAAATGTAAAAACATTCTATCAAGAAGAAAAATACAAATATCCAGTAAATAGGAGTGATTACACTTAACTGTACTAGTAATTAGCAAAATGCAGATCAAAGCAATTGTGAGAATGGGTTTCTGGCCATCAGGAAGGCACACAGTAAAAAGATGATAGGCACATGGCTGGTGTGGCTCAGTGGGTTGAGAGCTGGCCTAAGAACCAAAGGAATGCAGGTTCAATTCCAAGTCAGGAATTGGGTTGTGACAACATGTTGTGACCCAACAACATGCCTGGGTTGTGAGCCAGGTCCCCAGTCAGGGGAGGGCGGGGGGCGAGGAGGCAACCACACATTGATTTTTCTCTCCCTCTGTTCCTCTCTAAATACATACATACATACATACATACATAAAATCTTTTTAAAAAACAGATGGTAGGCAATGTTGTGAGAAAACGGGCTCATGGTGGACATGTAAATCAGCACAGGCTTTTTAGAAAGCAATTTCGCAAGAGCTATGAAAAACCTAAATCTGTGACCCATCAATTCTACCTATGAGAATCTATCAGTTAAGTAACTTTCCATTTCAAAAGCTGGAAAAATCCAATTTAAAGTGTATAAAACAATAAAAATATTTTTTATACTATATCATATCATTGGAAGCCCAGAAGCATAGAGGATCAGGGTTGCTGATTTGATGATTCCATGATGTTAGCAGGGATCAGCATCCTTTTCATTCTCTAAACTGACATTCATAGCTCAAGACCAGGTTCCTTCAAGCCGGTAAGACAGCTGCCTGTGATGATGAGAACTGCACACCCATATACATCTTGCAAGAAAATGAATGTCTCTCCCCCATCAAAGACTCCCAAGTGTGTTCGGGCCAACTTGGGGGGCATGCTGTGTCAATCAAGCGCTAGCAAGAAACATGTGACATTTAAACTTAGCAATTTAAGGTAAATGTAATACAGGAGTTATTTATAAAAATGTGGGCAAAGTATAGAAAAATCTCAAGACACAGTGCGGAACCCCAGGGTTAGTGACAATAGGATACGCCCCTTAGCATCAGTAGGCATGAGGGGACAAGAAGAGGAAATGCTTACCAGGGCAGAGAGAGAGCTTTGTGGAAAGGACCACTAGAAAGAAAACAAGACCTTCAAGAAAAACAGTCATCCCGGGGCAACCCGATAGGGGAAGAACCAGGATAAAAACCCTAACCTTACTCTCCCCACTTTCCAATGTCCTTCCTGTGAATCTTGAAGGGATATTGGAAACATCCAGCAGAGCCTAGGCCTTTACCCCTCAGGTCCATGTTCTTCCTCCATGGGTAAGGAATCTATGTTCCCCACTCCAAGTGAAATATAAACGGACATAGTTTGTATATTCATTCACCTATTGATGGTTTTCAGGGTTGGGATTCCAGATCTGGACAATAATGAATAAAGTTACTATAAAGATTCATGTGCAAGTTTTTATGTGGAGTGCCATTGCTGGATCACGGAGTAAGACTATGTTTAGCTTTGTTTTAAAAAAATGTTGCCAGACCATGTCCAAAGTGGCTGTAACATGTTGCGATCCCACCAGCAATAGTTAAAGGTTCCTGTTGTTTCCGAAACTCAGCAGTGTTTGGTATTGTCAATATTCCAGATTTTGGCCATTCTAAAGGTAGAGGGCTATCTCCTTATTTTTTAATTTGCATTTTCTAATGACATGTGATGTGGAACATATTTCATATGCATATCTTCTTTGATAAAGTGTCTTGTTCAAATTTTTTGTCCATTTTGAATTCGGTTGTCTTCATATTATTAAGTTTTAAGAGATCTTTGTATACTTTAAGTTCCATCTATCTCGTTTCACTTTTCTTAATATGCCTACTAGAAAATTGAAAATTCCCCACATTTGCACGTCACATTATATTCACAAGGGACACTAGTCTAAGGATGAACTGCGGCGCCAGGAAGACCCAGGCCCAGCGTGTGCTGAAGGGGCCAGTGCTTACCCAGCCTGTGGGGAAAGGGCAGCGGCTGAGAGGGCAGAACACAACTTCTTGGTGGGACACTTTTAACACACTCCCTTTTGCAACCCAAAAAACCAAAACATTAAATTTCCAGCTTTTTAAAGTTCATTACCAAGTAATATGTGCAGCTGGCGTGTTCATCTGGTGGCTTGACTTTCCTCCCCCACCCCAGATCCAACACTGCGCGGCTCAGGCCTCTGTGTGCCGCCTGGGCTCCGCTGCTGTTAGTTGATGATTCACATGCCTCCAGCCCTCACTGATTCAGGCCATCCTGCCCACTTCATTCAGACAGAGTTTTCCAGAATACATATCTGCTCTTGCCACTGTCTTCTAAAACCTTTAATGTTGCTGAGACAATAAAATTCAAGATCTTGGCATGTGTCCCGACTAGGGACAGAGGCGCACTCGCAGGCGGCACATGGGGAGATGTAAGCGAGGGAGCGCTCACAAAAGGGCGGGCAGGTCCAGAGGAAGCACAGGAGATGGAGAAGCACCAGGGCCGCAGCAGCTGGAGTTCATCGCCTCCTCCGAGGAGAACGGGTGGGGACAGTGGCAACTAGTGTAGGAGAGGGCGGGAGCTGGGGAGGGGGTCACTCTGACTCAATCTCCCCCTCTCTCTGGTTTCCCATGGCCTGAGCACAACCAGGAGACAGGACAAGAGACCTTGGAAGCTGCCCACGGGGTCAGTCTCACAGGTGTAGAGCAGGAGGATACAGGATTACCCCACATCACCCACCTGCCCTGCTCCAGGATGTTCACCTTTCTCTGGCCAAGAAACCCCTCTAAAACGCACTCTCCTTCACACCACGTCCCTGAGTACAGCCCTCCGTGCAAGCTCTCTAGTCAGACCCCGATACCTGGTAGGGGCTGATGCTGTGCATCTCCTTGCTCACCTTAGGTTCACGAATGCAAACATTTGGCTCATCACAAACCCCTTAAAGAGCCATCTTCACCTCTGCTCCTATTGGGTCCTGCTGCAGAGAGGGCCCAGCTGCCAGCGCATCCAGAGACCCTGAATCACTTTACTACCTGCCCCTTGGTCAACTGCATGGCTGTCAGCTGTGTTTTCCTTGGCCAGCAGAGGGTGCGATGACACCGAGAGACAGCGAGTGATAGCAAGTGACAGAGGGGCCTCCGGAGCTCACATCTGGGCCGAGCTGCTGGAGCTAAGCTGTCAGTTCCCACAGGTAGGACCTCTTTTATAACCATGGAATTGTGCTTTTCAAACTGTTTGTTTTTGTTTTTTTTACTACAATCCACTCTTTGAAATGCATTTTACCTTGCAGTCCAGTTCACGTGTACCTGTCTAATTATTATAGACTTCTAATATTAACCTACTAAAATCTAATTGCTGAAGGCATTTCACAGTGAAGTAAATTTGAAACATAAATAATTTAACAAAATTAAATTTTGTTGATCAATTAAAGTATACTTTTGGTCTTTGTACCTTCAGCAAATTAGCTTTTTAAATAGTTTGGCCCTGGCTGGTGTGGCTCAGGAGGTTGGAGCATTGTGCAATAGCCAGAGTTGTGGGTTTGATTCTCAGTCAGGGCACATGCCTAGGTTGCTCGTTCAATCTCCACTCCAAGTGTATGTAATCCCCGGTCCAGGCACATAAGGGAGGCAACTAACTGATCAATGCTTTATTCTTGCATCGATGTTTCTCTCTCCCTTCCTCTCTCCCTCCCTCCCTCTTTAAAAGCATTGAAAAAAAATGTCTTCGGGTGAGGATAAAAAAAATTTTTTTAAGTAGTTTGTTTTTATATCACTGACATATTTATTTTTTAACATATTCAGATTTTTAGTTATTGACTACATGGAGGTGTTTAGTAGTGAATACATGAAATGTGTATCAGTACATATTTTTTACCATATGCTTAATTTTTTTGGATTTTTCAGTGCAACTTTGAAATGTCCTGTCAAATGCAGATAACAAAAATTATGATTTGATTGTGTAAAGTAATAAAGGCCTATGATCTCCTTAAAATGAAACATTTAATTTTCATGTATTATTTATTTTCTGGGCAGCAGAATACATAACATTTTAATTAACACTAGAAAGTTATCAGGTTTACAAGTTATACACAGTTTTGGGGGGGAAATATTTTGTCATCAACTTTGTTAACATGTTAAAAGATAGACTGTGGCATACAAAAATTTTTGAGTTTATTTGAGCAGAACACCATTTGAATTGAGCAGCCTCCCATCTAGCACAAAGAAAGGAGCTCCAAGGGGCAGGACAAAATGAAAGATTTTCATAGGCAGAAGGGAGTGGGGACAAGAAAGTTATCCTGGGCAGAAAAGCAGGTCGGTTATGGCCAGGTCACTTTCCTTCAGGGGACGGCAGGGGCAGGTTACCTACCTAGAACTGATCAGAGGATTCCTGATGAGAAGGTTTGAGATTCCATTTGGTGACAGTGGATGTGAGGTGGGGGTTTAGCCTAATCAACTACATTCTGGGCCTGTTGTGTTGTGTGTTTTTTTTTAACAAACATAACGATAATTATCTCATATGTAGATTCATGCTCCAAATAATTCTTCTCCTTAGTTTAAATGTCTTGTTTGCATACAAAAGTTATCATAGGACACAAGAGTAGGAAACAAATTGCAGGGATGCCTTGTGAGATGAATGGAACTTCCTTAGGTATCTACAAATGCAAAACAAGAAACACTGCATTTTATGAGTCTGGATGCAACAGTGTCAGATGGAGCTGCTCAGGAGCTATTCACAAAGTGATGCAATTCACTGTGAAAAGGCAAAATGCTTTAAAAGACAAATTACTGGGGACGAAACATTCAATGAGTAAGGAAAACTTCCTATGCGCTAATCTCACTGGGGCTCATTTCAACATCCTAGACTGGCTCAAATGAAAATTCAATGTATTCCTTTTGGCCAGCCTTGTTTGTCATTCCAACAGGTTCAGCCAAATTGTTGGAGGTGCAAATATACCACCCAGAGTGGGCAGCCGACTCTAGTGTGTTCCGGGAGTACACCTCTGCCCTATAGAAGGTGAAGGGCTTCGATTCTTCTTTGTTCCAGGTACTAAGCTTGCCAAGATTCTGTTCCTGTGAGGTAAAAGGGATCGATTAGCCAGCATAGCCTCTGAAGGGGAGAAAATGCAGCCTGTGCACTCTTGGAGCCCAGAGGTAAGTAGGAGAGCAAGTTCTTCTGCCTACAGCTTCCTGGAGGTGGTGCACCTGTTGTATGGGCCAAGGTGAGAATTTGTGGAGAGCGGGAGGTATGGCGAGTCTTGGCCTTTCCTTTAGGGATGGCTTAGGGGACAGGAATTGGATGGGAATGCTCACCTTCAGCTGGAGGGTTGGCTGGCTTCTTTCCATGTCCATCTCGCAGCAGAGACAGAGCTCTCCTTCGGAGACCGCCATGAAAATTGGACTTCCCTCGTGCTCCCAGTCTGAGCTGAAGCGACAGGGTAAGACAAAGATGGTCTCTGGGAAAAAGACAGTCACAAAAGAGGGATTGGGTCTCAGAGCAGGGAAGAGGCCTTCTGTCTGCTGGGGCTTCAGGCTCCTTCACTCTGGTCCCAGCCTCCTCCTCCCCCACAGTCCAGAAAGACTTCCCTCAGATCTGCTCACCAGCAAAGACACTCATTCCATTCCTAGGGGTTTCTGGACTCCTCAGCCCCACTGCTCAGCCCCTGCTGGAGCTGGAGGTGTCCTATAGCCTGAGCTGAGCCCTAGTGGGAAGGCCTTCCCCTGGCTGTGGGGGGACAGAAAACGGCCAAGAGAGAGTCACCTGGGTGTATGTTGAATTTATCTGGAACTGCTTGGAGGGTCCCAGAGCACAGCACCAATACTTTGTGGTCCCAGTCGCGAATGATGAATTTCTCTGGGACTTGGGTCACCACTTTTAGACCTAGATCGATATAAGCAAATGTCAGCACTTCACACTGAAAATGGAAAACCTAGTCCTTCCGAGCCCACAGGGAGGGTCCCCACCCAGCCTGCCTCCTGCCTAAAGGCTTGAACTTTGGCCCACTGAACACTTCTCCCACCCCAGGCTTCCTGCCTTGCTCCAAACCAGCAATGCAGCACAAATGTGAGCACATGGGTTCCCAAGTTTGATACATGGGTTCAAATCCAAACTCTATGACTTACTGCTTTAGGACATAAGAGAAGTCACTAAATCTCTCCATACCTCAATGTCCTCATGTATAAAGTGGGGTGATAATGACTCCTACCTTGCAGGGGCATTGGGATGATTAAAATACTTACTCAAATGAATGGCTCTTAGCAAAGTGTCTGAGTATGGAAAGAACTCCATACATGCTAATCATTCTTCTTCATAACCCTATTTCCTGCACCCCCTCCCAGGGGCACCGTGCTCCTAGCAATCAACGCATGGGGTGAAACCGATCCTTGCACTGGCTGGGCCAAGGGAGGAACAGTGGGGCATGGGGTGAGGTGGAGGCACGAAACACCCAGGCTGCCAGCATCGTGAAGACCAGCTGGTGCTCCAGGCCCATCAGAAAGCTACAGGGCTCGTGCCCGGCCCTGAGGAACCTCTCTGAAATCACAGGACCAGCCACAGCGGTGGCCAGGGCGTTTCCCCAGGGCAGGCTCCTGGGAGAACATTCAGGCCAGCCCTGCCCACAGGTGGGGTCTCGCACAGAAACCCTCCCTACCGGGCCTCTGAATGGGTGGGGGGTCCGGCCCCCTATTGATGGAGGCAGGAGCCCACGAGTGGGCCAATGACATTCATGGATGGTGTTTATAAAATGTGAAATATGATAATACAGTAACCACCGCACCAAGCGATGCTATCATGTAATCTGTGATGGGTAATTACAACGTAGAGAGGAAATCTAAGACCTCGTTCTTGTCCCATGCAATAAGCACATGTCTCTGGATAGTCTTCTCCTGCCCTGGGAATGGGAACTCTCCCTGAAACACTGACTCTTTGTCTCCTCCTCCAGGAAGCCCTCCTCAGCCCCCTCTGTGTGGAAGGGCTCCCTGCCTGGGCTGCCACAGTACTCTGCACACACACCTGCAGCACAGGTGTTGGCGTCCCCGTCTCGGCTCCCTATGGCACTGGAAGCTTCTGAGTGCAGGTCCCCTGTGTGACTTGGTAAATCCTCCTCAATCCCAGCCCAGTGCCCCAAGCATCATGGACACTCAGCATTTATGGCAGGGATGAGTAGCCCAGGTGAGATTCTAAGTAACTCTGCAATGACACGGGGTCAGGTGAGATTGGTGGGTCATAGCCCTGGGTAACACTAAAATCTCCTCAGGAACCTCTCGGGGCCCACCCCAGACACTTTGAGTTCATGGGACTGACTGATGCAGATTGATTGAGAATCATGAAACCAAATTAACTCTAAACCTTCCAACTTCTCAAACATTAACTACACACGCAACTCCGCCTTTCTGTCAGCCCCAGTGCTGGCAGTGCTGCTGCTCTGAGGGCCACCCTCTGAGTGGCCCGGCCTGAGGCTGTGGTTTTCCTGCTTGGCTGCACATTGGACCACCTGGTGGGTGACACTCTAAGACTATGGATGCCTGGGCCTCTTACCCCCAAGATTCTGATTCAACTGGTCCAGGGTGAGACCCAGACATGCTATATAAGTTGCATTTCTAGCACTACCATTGTGCTTTTTAACTCTTAAATATTTATTAAATCATATACTATGTTCATGGATTGGAAAAATTAGCATCATTCAAATGTCCATACTAGCCAAAGCAATCTATAGATTTAATGCAATTTCTATTAAAATAACAATGGCATATTTTACAGATCTAGAACAAATATTCCAAAAATGTATATGGAATCAAAGAAGACTCTGAATAGCTTCAGCAGTCTTAAGAAAGAAGAACAAAGTTGGAGAGATCACAAAACTGAATTTCAAACTATACTACAAAGCCATTGTAATAAAAAACAGCTTGGTACTGGCACAAGAACAGGCATACAGATCAATGGAACAGAGCAGAGAGCCCAGAAATCAACTGATGGCTTTATGATCAATTAATATTTAACAAAGGAGGTAAGAACATATGACAGGGTAAAAACAGTCCCTTCAATAAATGGTGTTGGGAATATTGGACTGGCATATGCAAAAAAGTGAAAATAGACCACCAACTTACACCATACACAAGAATAAACTCAGAATGAATAAAAGACTCAAATGTAAGGCACAAAACCATAAAAATCCTAGAAGAAAACATAGGCAGTAAAATCTCAGGCATAGTAATATTTTTGCCAATATATCTCCTGGGGCGAGGGAAACAAACAAAAAAGTAAACAAATGGAACTACATCAAACTATATTTAAAAAGCTTCTGCACAGCAAAAGAACCCATCCACAAAATGAAAAGAGAACCCACTGTACGGGAGAGCATATTCACCAATGACACACCTGCTAACTTGTTAATTTCCCAAATATATAAAGAACTTACACAACTCAAGGCCAAGAAGACAAAAAATCCAATTTAAAAATAAGCAAAGGACCTGAATAGACACTCCTCCAAAGAGGACATACAAATAGCCAATGGACATGTGAGAAAATGCCCAACATCACTAAACATCAGAGAAATGCAAGTTAAAACCACAATGAGATATCACCTAACACCTGTCAGAATGCCCATCATCAATAAATTAACAAACAACAAGTGCTGGCCAGAATGTGAAGAAAAAGGAACCTTCGTGCATTGTTGGTAGGAATGCAGACTGGTGCAGCCACTATGAAAAACAGTATGGAATTTCCTCAAGATACTAAAAATGGGACTGCTGTTTGGCACAGTGATCCCACTTCTGGGAATATATCCTAAGGATCCTGAAACAACAATCAGAAAGAATATATGCATCCTATGTTCATAGCAGCCAAGATCTGGAAACAACCCAAGTGTCCATTAGTAGATTAGGGGATAAAAAGGCAGTGGTACATTTACTCAATGGAACACTACACAGCTATAAAAAAAAAAAAAAAAAAAAGAAGGAAATCTTATCCTTTGGAACAGCATGGGTGATCCCAGATAAAATTATGTTAAGTGAAATAAGCCAGTCAGAGAAAGACAAATACCATATGATTTTACTAATATGTGGAATCTAATGAACAAAATATACTGACAAACAAAATAAAACCAGAGGCATGGACCCATAGAACAGACTGACAGACGTCAGAGGGGAGAGGGTGGGGGCAATTGGAAGAAATTAGCCAGAGAACATATACGCATATACACATAGCCCATGGACACACACAACAATGTGGTAAAGGAGGCGGGGGGGACTGGGGAATAAAGACAGGAAAATTGGGGGACACCTATAACGGTGTTAACAATAAAATTATATACATATGTGATGAAGGATCCTCAAAAATTGAATTTATTTATAAAAAATGTGTATTTGTTCTTACATGTTTAAACTTCAGTCACCTTCAAAGTGCTCTCCATTTGCTACAATACACCTATCGAGATGTTTTCCCACCGCTCAGAACAGTTTTTGAACCCGTCAATTTTGATGTCTTTTAGTGCTTCTGCAGTTTATTTCATCTCTTCCACATCGGCAAAATGTTTCCCTTTGAGGAATTTTTTCATCCAGCAAAACAATAAAAAGTCACTTGGGGCAAGATCAGTTAACAGGGAGGATGGGTCAGGGGAGTCATGCCAGTTTTGGTCAAAAACTGATGAACACTCAGCACAGTGTGGGCAGGTGGACTCATACATCACCCATCATGAAATGGGCAAACACATTGAAAACAGACTTCAAAAAATTCACTGAAGTCAAACGCAGCCTCTCACAACACCCCCAGCTGGTACACTGATACAGATGGGTTCCAAGAACACTCACCTAGTGGAGGAAGGCTGTACTACAAAGAGCCCACCCTCCAGAATAATTCCAGGTTTCTTGGGGGCCCCCTTTCATATTTCCTAAATCTGTTCTTTTATTCCTGTTTCCTTCCTAACGCACCCTGACTTGGGGCCCCACCATCTCACACTCAGGCTTGTTCATGTCGTCTCTTGCATTACTCCTGATCCCAAATCTGTTCTTCAAATGTCCTGCTCAAGGGCCTCAGTGGACCTGTCAACGGTTTTATGGGGCTGGTAGTCTTTTCTGTAGGGCGAATTCCTGTATATCACAACAACCTTGGAGCCTGCACAAAAGACCTCTGAGCCCCACACCCCGAGTTTCTAACACAAAAGTCTATGGTGGAGCAAAGAATTTCCATTTCCAACAAATTCCCATGAGCTGATGCTACTTCTGGTCCAAGGCCCAAACAGTGAGCACCCTGCTCCCTGGTTGGGGTGGGCTACAGCCCTGATGAGAAGTCAAACTAGGCCCAACAGACAGGCCTGTTTGGGGTCCCACCAGATGGGGCCCACGGCAGATCCGGGGCAGACACCTCCCACCCACGACCAGACCAGAAACAGCTGAGCCACCTGAGGCAGCAGCGGCGGTGGCTCCCAGGCACGTGGGAACCGGGCCAGCACTGTGTGCACCTCCTCTCGCTGGGGGCTCACTGCCCTCTTCCTCTGGGGGAAATCGAGGCTCAGTGTTCACACATGGCCTACAGTGGAGCTGGGACTCAGGCCAAGGTCTCCTGCCCTGTGCAGAGGGTGGTGATGGAGCCTTACACCTGACTTGGGCTGACAAATGTTGTAGTTTCGTAAATCTCAGCATGTCACCAACTACCTGCACACCTGGGGCAGGCAGCCCCCTTCTCTTCCTTGGTTTCTGCACCGTGAAAGTGGCAATGTTAACCTTTCCTCCTGGGGTTATTGTGAGCTTCACATGCAGCCTGTGGGAAGGGTTCTAGCTCAGTGCGCACAGGGCATTCAGCGGTATGGATCCCTGCGTGGCCCTCCTGCCAAGTTCCTGATTTCCATAGGCACTAGGAGGAGGTCATGGCAGCCAGCAATGGTCCTAAGAAAAACCTGGATGGTTTCCAGGCTCAAACCATTTCTTCTCCTGAGCCACCCAGCAGGTATACGTGACCTTCTCTCTGTGGGCCCCTCTTTCTTATTGACCCTTCCAAGATTTGAAAGAAGAAGCCTCAGCCCCAAGCCGGCACCCTTAGGTGTCCCTCATCTCTGGTTCTCCCACTCCCCTGAGAGAGCCCAGTGGCACCATCCCCACCCCACCCTCACCAGGCCACCCAGGGGCCTTACCTGCATGTGCAGAGCCCAGGGAGGTGAGGCTCGGGTCTGGCTCCAGGGGGCCTCTGGCTGGATCTGGAATCAGAGACAGTGAGGTTGGCCCACACACTGGGAATTTTCAGGGGATTAGGAGCCCCAGGAGGCCATGTATTGCCTTACTTGTTTTTTGTGTGTTTTCAGAAACACTAAGAACAGAGACAGTAATGACATTAAAAACAGCTTTTCTGGTCAAAAATGGTGGGAATGGAGACGATATGGAGCTGAGTGCAGAATTTCCTTCAAACATCTGCATTAACTCAGGGGCAGAGCAAGCATTGCCCACAACTGTGAGATTAACCAGGGGTCCTGCCTGATAAGACATTAAGTCTTATAAGAGAAATGCTGGGATGAAATCAGACACCAGACTTTTTCTCTAAAAGCACACAGAGCTTGTGGAAAAGGAAACCCCCACCTGTGCTCTGCTTGAAGGCCCTACCAGCCGGGGCTCTGGGAAACTGCAGCATGTGTGCCTGAGACAGCGTGTGCATGTGGTAGCCGCCTCGTAACTCCTGTTCTAGGAGCAGGGCTGGCTGGGTCCAGGCCTCTCTGTTGTTACTGTTACTGGATCCACGGTTATCAAACCAATGTCCTGATTTTTAGTTTCATACTGTGATGGCCACATGCAAGTTGAAAGCTCAGGGATGTGGCCTCTGGCATGTTACAGGCTTCTCCCTTCACACCCGTGCATTGGACAGTCATGGAGGTCAAAATTTTGCTTTTAATGTCTCCCTTGAGCTGACACCCAAGTACCTTCCTCCAGGGGGCACTCAGAAGCACTGGGTCACTGCCCAGCCCAGAATCAGAGACACTGCCCCCCACTGCAAGCCCCTCCTCTGCTGAGCAGTCAGTGGGGACAGAGGTGCATTTGCAGGATTCAAAACCATCCCGTTGGTGAGTCAGGACTTCAAACCCTGCGTCTCTGATAACATTGACCCATTTACCTACCACCTCCTGCCCCTGGGCTCCTGTCACTAATCTTCATTTTCTCGAGAATTTCTGTTGTGTAATTCACCTACCCAGGAAATTCTCAAAGCTCACTCTCCATATAGGTGCCCAAGGAGGCCAGGGTCTGTGCACGGCTCCTCACGGGATCCTGCTTCAGGAGTTACAGGTGCATTTTCACAAGAACCTCACCTTCTGAGCTGCACTGGGGTTCAGCTCTTTCCAGGTCTCCAGAGTCCATCTTCACACCTGTGTTCTCCTCCAGGAAGGACATTTTTGTGGGATGGAATAACTCAACAGGAGCCTGGGATGAAGGGCAGGGGCAGAGGGGACAGGAAGGACACTGGGTACAGCACCTCTGAGATACAATGATACAGATACAATGTAGGATACTATGTCACACTGCCTTGCAGAGATGACTTCTCTCTCAGTTCCGTGCCTGTCTGGAGCCCTGGACAGGGTCTCTACAAATCTCTTTCCTTGGGCTGACAGATGTTGTAGTTTCGTTAATCTCAGCATGTCACTAACTACCTGTGCACCTGGGGCAGGCAGCCTCCCTCTCTTCCTCGGTTTCTGCACCCTGAAAGTGGCAATGTTAACCTTTCCTCCTGGGGTTATTGTGAGGTTCACATGTGGCCCGTGGGAAGGGTTGCAGGAGACCTTGCTGGCCTCCTTCTCTGCTCTGAAATGTTTACTCCGTCCATTGAGGACCCGCAGGGCCTGCTGTGCTCTTCCCTGCAGCCCTCCTTCTTTGATTTTTGCCCTGCCAAAGCGACGTTTTCCAACCTGTAGGTCACAATATCATTTTTATGGATCTAGTTCAAACTGGATTGCTCTAATCCCAGGGCTGGCAAATTATAGCCCACAGGCCAAATCTGTCCCATCCTTGTTTTTTAAATAAAGTTTTATTGGAACATGGCCATACACTTGCTTGCCTGTCGTCTACGGCTGCTTTCCAGCTAAACGGCACAGATAAATATTGAAGAAGAGTCATCTGGCCAGCAACGCTTATAATGCTGACTTTCCCAGCCTTTACAGAAGTTGCCAACACCCTGCTGTAGTCTAGTCTTTGCAAAGAAAGGCAGTTTCTGTGTAGTCTCTGGTCATGGAAAATGAAGTCTCCCAAAGGTCCCAGGGGACTCAACTCCTGATGTGTTAAGGCAGGGCTGACACGGGATCCCCCACCCCACTCCCAGTGTTGTGTGTCACTTCTCACTCAGTCCACACAGAATTTTCCCCAGCGTCAGTTCAGGATAACACAGTGAGGGAGGGGCAAGCCTTCTTGTTCCCATCCTACAGATGAAAACTTCAAACTAAGTGACTTCTCAAGGGTCACACCATTTTAACATTACAGACAGGCGATTTATATAGAAAACCAATCTTCGAAGAATGGTGTAAGAGTGTGACAAAAGGAGCTAAATGGTTTTGCAAAAAATAAAAATGGGAAGAAAGGGCTCCAGGGCCAGGCAGCAAAGACAGTGAGGAGAAGGAGAGAATGGTCTCCTGTGGCCCTGGAGGAAAGGGGACATGGTGGCACTTTAATGGATGGCCAGATATCCGCTGTTTGGTTTTACATTGTTGGGTTTTTGTCTGCATCCCCTGAACACACAAAGCACAACTGCCTTTGCAGTTTTGGAGGTAAACGAAGAGACAGAGAATTGGTGACAATGGAGAAGGCAGAGAATTTGGCAGCCACGGCACATCAGAACAAGAGGTGTCTAGCAGAAATGTAGGTGCCCAAATATATGAAGATACGGGTGGTGCTGCTGAAGCACAGAGTGACACCCACAGGCGGGAGGACTGCTGATGTCCCCGTGAGCTCCTTACAGATCAGGTCACCTAGATCAAGATAAATGCAAGTGGAGTCCACAGGGCTCCCTGCATTTGGCCATCTGAGATCCATCTCTTCCCACTTAAGAACACTCAAAGTACGGCATCCTGATATCTCTTTCTGAAGACCAGTACTTTCCAGACTCTGAAATCGGACTGTTCGGCCTTCAGAAAAGGTGCTTGCATCTTCCTAAGGTTTCCTAAGCTCAGTGTGTGCCTGGCCCTGCAGCAAGGCCCTGCTTATTGGCGTAGCCATCCTAGAAGACTGTGGGCTGCTGCTGGGTGGGCTGAGAGCAAGGTGGCCTAGGGGGCAATATTTAGACATTTGGGGGGTCCATAGAGAGGCTTCTAGTAGGGAAACTGCAGGGTAGAGGCAAAGCTCTCCCGCTTCCCCATTGTATCTGTTGACCCCTTGAGCAGGGATTGAGGACCACTTACCTGGGCCAGGGATCCTGAGGTCCGTCTGTGGCTCTGTCCTGGGCTCCCGCAGCTCTGATTTTCTGCCCCAGGATCTCGCCCTCATTATGAACAATCGGTTTGGGAGTGTACATGTGAACATGACGGCAGCATTCCTTTAGCCAATAATAATAGCATCCCAGGTTATCTGTCATCACTCATCATCTGCCATGTTTCACCCTGTGGCCATTAACAAATTCTTATGGGGTAGTGTCACTCCGCCAAGGATGTGCCATATCTGTTCAACAACGCATTTTAAGGTGCTCGAGATGGACAGTGTGGCTGCCCATCTATACCAACCACAAAGGTGTGAGGAAGAGACAAGAGGGGAATAAGGGAGATGCAAGGTCTAGGTCAGGCAGTGAGCCTGAAGGTGCAGGAAAGTCCCTCTCCTCACATGGGTTCTTGCCCCAGTCCCAGGAACCATGTCCACCCACATCCCAGAGAAAAATGTTCTCTTATCATCTGTACTCCGAGACGTTACTGAACCTCCCTCCACCTCTTCCTCAACAGGGACATGCAAGCTCCCTTGGATGAGCAAGGCGGTGTTTCCTTGCATATTGCATTGCATTTGTTCCTGTCCGTTCATAAGTATGGCTGTGCCCTACAACACCAAAAACTGCCAGTCGATTCAAATGAAAATCCATACAACCCAGTAAGATCACAACTTCTGGGCACCACCAACACCACAAAACACGGGAACAAAGCAACAGTCACCATCATGCCCATGCATGTTGTCACCTGCCAGGCTTGGGATGACCCCGTGGCCTTCCATCTTTATCTCCCTGAGCCTGAGATGATCCTGCTGAGAGGTGCCGTCATCGCTGCTTTCCAGACAGAGCAGTCTCAGGGCTTAAGCAGTTGACCCCTGATCACACACGTGGTTACGGGCAGCACAGGACTATAGCACAGTCCTTTCTGAGTGTGTGGCAGCTCCGCCCCTTACACGGTCTCTCCTGGTCCTTTTCCATGCACACATCTACCTAACATACCGACACAGGGGTGTGTCCAACCGCTTATTTTATAACATGTCTCTCCAATTTCTTCATAAACCAGGGAACGGGTAAGATGGCAAAGGAAAAGGTGAAATAAAAGCAAAGTCAAAACAGTCACTACCTCACAGGCAGTGACTTCTGTTCTCAGGGCTCAGGAGGAGAGATGGGGGTGGGAGGTGCCCTGTAGGGGTAAGTAGGAAAGAGACTTGTAGAGACCCTGTCCAGGGCTCCAGACAGGCACGGAACCGAGAGAGAAATCATCTCTGCAAGGCAGTGTGACGTAGTGGGTGGAGCACTCACTGCAATCTCTCTGATACTGCCCCCCGCCCCGGCACACAGCCTCAGTAAATTTAATAATCTTTACTAATGTGGGTGCACCATGGGATGCCATCTGTTTACTCATTTGTGTTTTCATTTGTGGGAGGTTGAGGAAGAGAACAAGAGTCAGCTCATTTGTGCATCGCAGATGGATAAAACTTATTAAACTAATTCCCAACGTCGCATATTTGGGTTTTCATTTTTACATTGTTATCTACAACGTCATGCTAAATATGCTTAGACTTAAACCTTCACAGATACCATTTATTATGTTGCTGGGATAAATTCCCAGAAGTGTAATTTCTGGGTCAAAACATATTCATATTTTACTTTATATACTTTTTAAAATTTTGCATCTTACAGTGATTTTTAAGGAATCTAATTTATTAGATATGTTTTTCACTTATCTAATACACTTCTTACAGAGCAATCATCATTCAGGCTTTTTGACAGGTTTTATATTCCTGCATGTGTGTGTATTTGGTGAATTTGTTTTCTGTGTGTATATGGAGAAATATATGTGCTTTATGTGTATATACTTTGCATGCATCTATGTTTTCTTGCAGTGTGTATGTCTTTCATGTGTATGTTTGTGTGTCATATTTATTATTGTATATATGATTCTGTGCTGTGTGTTTTGTGGCTGTATATGTTTTGTGTGCATGTTATGTGTGTTGTATATGTCTTGGGTATCTTTGTGTGGCTTTGTGTGTGTTGTGTGTGTATATTTTATTGGAGTGTGTATATTTTTATATGTATGTTTTAGGGGGAAGCCTTCCCTTCTCTGATGTCAGCACGGCACCAGGCAGGGCTCAGTGTAAAGCTGGGTTGACCTGGTCTCCTCTGTTTTAGGCCAAACACAAAGTGCGGCGGCATTAGAAGGCTGCATTTTGACCCAGCCTCCATGATCAGGGTGCCAGAGGTGCTGAGACATCCTGCTGTCATTTCACGGGAATTGTGAAGTAGGTCCACTGCGCAGCTGATGACCAAGGGAACCGAGCCATCCTAGCTGCCACTCTGGCATTTTGAGACCATCAGACCCAATGAAGGGTTCCACCTGCAAACAGGTCAAGAGGCCACATGGCAAGATGTGCCCATAACTCAATGGGTACAAAGAGGCAGCACATGCTCCTAACCAGACGCTGACTTGACTGGTGAGGGAGGCCAGCAACCTAGTCACTGAGGGGCAAAGGCTGTTCCTCAGGTGACACAGAAAAGATGTCTATCCTTTCTGAGACCAGACACTTTGGTATTTGGGCCCCTCACCTGTGGTATATGGCAATGGGTCTTCGTTCACAGGTAGGTTTGAGACTAGTTACTAATTTTTTGTTATTTGTGCCATAGGATATAAATATTGATAGAGATGGGGGAAATGCTCTGAAGATAATGTTTACAAACTTCTTTCCTTGGATTTTCTAAGAGCACCTCACCCCTTGGCTGCAGTCACATTTTTAAAATGCTGCCACTCTAAAGTTACTTAGGACCTCATCCCTGCCATAAACACCAAGTGTCCATGATGCTTGGGGCACTGGGCTGGGATTGAGGAGGATTTACCAAGTCACACAGGGGACCTGCACTCAGAAGCTTCCAGTGCCATAGGGAGCCGAGACGGGGACGCCAACACCTGTGCTGCAGGTGTGTGTGCAGAGTACTGTGGCAGCCCAGGCAGGGAGCC